AAAGAAAAATCAAAAGAAATTACTTATATTCAAGGCAAGCCTATGTTCTTACAAAGTTATGCGATGGATATTTATAGAGTACATTGCATGTTCAAATTGTTTTGAAATGTTTGCCGTTATGTTCGATACCTTGATCCCTTTTACCTAACCATAACACGCAGAAAGTTGGTCGTGAGTGAAAATATCATTGATTGAAGCAGTTCCTATGTTTATTATTAACCCTTTGCGAACGAGCACTCCCACTGATTTTTCTGATTCTGATTCTTCCCGGATATTTTCTATCGTCGTAAAAATTAGAAGCTGTAATCTAAATATCGGAATAAATAATTCCTGATTCTACATTTGCAAGAAGAAAATTATTGAATTTAATCGAAGCAAACTGAAAAAAAAAAAAAAAAGGTATAAGTAAGTGGAAAAGATGAGAAATAATATTTTAAATGACGTGTGTATTTACGTCAAAAATTGTGAATATATTAAATTTGACTAAGATTACGAATATTTCTTATTCAGAATAAAATACAAATTTTCTTAAATCTTTATATTAAATTTTATATATAAATTATCTTATTTATTTAAAAATATCTTTTTAAATGAAAATATTTCTCTTCTGTTTCGGATTTTTAAATAATCAATCAATTTGATTTAATACGCAATAATTATATATTGACTCATTTAATTAACTCATGTTAGAACTTTTTTCCTTACACATGTATAATTAATGTTATTGTAAGACATCTATAATTTGACTTTAATTATTATAATCGATATGAATTTAATTATTTTTTTATATTTGCGATTAAAAATTATTTTTATCTTTTTCCGATATATTTGCAAAAGTTTGTATAAATAATAAATTTCGCGGAACAAAGTCTACAACAAATGAACAGAAATATTTTAAAATAAAATACTATATTATTCCGTTTTGCAGGAAAATTTTTATGCAATCACGCAGATTGACATGTGCTTTTGTTTGCAATGATCAAGGGCGAAGTGCAACAGCATTCCATCTACATAATCGCTTCAATGTATGAAAAAGTTGAAATGATCACGTCCATTAATATACTCGTAACTAAGACTGTATTATCATCCTCGTGTCAAAGATGTACAATTCGATAATTTATGGAAATTTATATCGTACTGTAACTTTTATATTTAAACTTAAACTTTAGAATCATCTCTGAAATAATAGAACAAGAAAACAATTGATATATAGTAAAAATAAATCGGAAAAAAAAAAAAAAAAAAGAAAAAAGAATAACAGTTCTTCTTTTTCATATTTAAGATATTTTTTTCCAACTACATCAAATTTTCAAAAAAAAAAATAAAAAAAAAAGTTTTCAAATATCAGTCGTTTGTACCATATGATTTCCAAGACACCCTGTATACTTCGTCTAATGGATCAAGAATTTTATTTTTTTTATCTTTTATCTTTGTTGTTTAATATTAATTAAGCCCTTTTCTTTTTCTTCGACAAAGTTCGTTAATTTAAATAGGCTAATACGTTGAATATTGAATTACTGGGAACACGGTATAGCTGAGAAATGAGAAGGAAAAATGTCCGACATTGTACAACCGACGGTCGTATTCGAAATGTATGTCGATAGGCAATACAATATGTTAAATGTGCGTATATATATTGTGTGTATATATTACCTACGAACTTGTGCCAAAATATATACACAACATGTATATCGAAAAATATTATTCAATTAAAGATTGAAATTAGATGTTACGAGAAAAGGCTGCTAATAAACCTTTTATGTACAAACATATATATGATATTTTGTTTCGATATAAACATTTCAAATGAGATATATATACCTGTAATTTCTGACGAAATTTGATAAAATAAACATGATAAAAACTATGATTCATTGTTCAATCTTACAAAATTTTCTTGAAAAAAATTTCTAAAAAAAGATTGCATAACTTATATATTCTGAGATATTTTAAAATAGATAACTTGAGGAAAAATTGGAAAATTAAATTTTTTAAAAATACAAAAAGATCATTAAGATCATTAAATGGAAAATATGTTCCGATTTAAGAAAAAAACTGGGAAATAATAGCTGACTGTTGAATTAGTCAATAAAAAAAAAAAAATGTGTTATTCGGATTATTTAAGCAATATATTAATTTACAATAATTTAATTTACAATAAATTAATTAATCAATAAATTAAAAAAACTCAATTTAGATCCTATTAATTTCAAGTAGAAATTTTCAATGTAATAAATATTATATAATTACTATTATATATAACAATATTATACAATAACTATTATTATATAATAACAATATTATATAATAACAATATTATATAATAACAATGTTTACCTCATTAAATTTCTAACAATTTTACACATTTATGTAAAGGATTGATAAAAAAAAATTTTTCTTTTTCTTTCTCTTTCCTTCTTTATTTTTTTTTTTTTGTATTTAACAATAAAAAATTTCTATTATCGCGATTATATGAATATGCACGACTGATTGATAGAATCGATACTGAAGAAGGCATGAAAATGTTATCGGTTATCTGAGCAATGAATGTGTGAATGTGTGAATAGTAGAATTAATACTACAACTATTATACCTATATGGGTTGTTTGATTTACGCTATTACTTGCAAACACACGAAGATAACGTAGCGATTACGAATTTCTTGCTCTAGAAATTCGAAATTTCCAACTTTCAATCGAAATAAAAAACACGTTATTCTTAATTGTTATCAAAAATCTTTTGGATATAAATAACGATAAATTTTAATTGCATGAAATTTCTAATTTTTAATCAATTTATTAATATATCTGTATCCTTTATTTTCTTAATATTATTGTACAATATATCAAAGTGTAAATATCAATGTATACATAGAATGTATCCTGTGGTAAAATCGAGCAAAAATTGATTTTATTGAAAAAAAAAAAAAATAATAATAAATCGGAAGCAAAGAATAAAATTTTGTCAAGTTTGCAAGTTTCAAAAATGTTTAAATACAATTAGAACTTAACTATTTTTCAATTAGATACAAATGGACAGGTGATTATACGATTACATAGTAAAAATAAATAATAAACACAGAATAAAGTTTTATCGCTTAAAAGTTCTTGTTTTTTTAGGAAATTAAAAGATTAAATATATATATATATAATTAACGAGTAATGAATTTTCAAATTTTTCGAAAATTTTTAAATGAAAAAAAAAAAAACAGAAAAAATGTAATCCACGTATCTTTTGGTTATTTAAACACATTTAAAGTAATCAACTATCGATAGTTCATTCGTATCTAATCGAAGAATAGCCACTTAATTGTACTTGATAATTTTTCAAACTTGTTTTACTAGTTG